CGCTGCAGCCGCAGCTGTTGATGAGATGGGCGCTCAGCGCCAGCAGATCCTCGCGAAGCGCGAGAAAAATAAAGCAGCTGCCAAGAAGGCCGCAACGGCTGAGGCGGCTTCTGGAGCTGCTAAGGCTGTCATCACACCTAGGGGTAAAGGCATGCAGCGGCCTGTCGCAGCCATGACACCGAAGGCAACCGATCGGCCAAATATGCCCAATGAGGGGCCCGTCCACTACTTGGGCGGCAAGGTCCCCTCCCCCCCCCCCCCCCCCCCTCCAACTCCAAGGGGGGCTGGAGGGCGTGGCCGTCGGCAGCCGACGCAGGCCACGAGACGTGCATTAAATTTGGGACGTCCAAGGCCCAGAGTTTCAAAGAGGCTTTGAATTACATCGGGTCTTGTATCTGATGGCCCCTTAGGGTGGCCAGGATTCGTGTCTCGAGGTGCAGGGGCTTCGCGCGCGCGTGGCTGGGCGTTGTATGCTAGGGCACTGGCGCACGCCTGCGTGCGAGACAGTGCCATCCCAACAACACTTCAGAAGTGAAGCCGCACACGACACTTGCACGTGGACAAACAACCGTGGTGCAGCATATTATCGGCCAGCCGCATGCTTCTATAGCGGCAAGGAGCACACCATCATCAGCATCATCGCCACCACCATCACCACCCTCATTTGCCATCAACCTTAGCAAGAGCTCCTCATCACCCCTGTCTTGCTCCATCCCCCCCATGCCATGTTCCTTCCTACCGTCTGCGTCCTGCGTGATTCCCCTGGCCCTCAATTTCAATCGTCGCGTACATTCCCCCAGACCACTTAAATTGCAACCTCCTTCTATTGTGCCGAGAGAAGCACGCGTGATGCTTGGCAAATAAGACCTACCTCGATACTGGCTCACACTCGCGCCCCCGCTTCCCCCCCCCCCCCCCTCCCCCCCCCCCCCCGCCCCCCGCCTCACCCCACCCACCCACCCCACCCCCGCGCTCTGTCCGTAGCCATGGAGGCCCGAGCCCTCAAACATCGACGATTGAATTCGATTCGCTACAGCCTGCCACATGCGAGTCAGACGGCGCTCGCTGCCTCTTGTTCCGCTTCCAAATCGGGCGCCCTCCCAGGCATATCTACCGGAAGAGCTGTAAGAATTGCGAGGGGCGAACTGGTGCTCCAGAAAACGCGTTTTGGACCGTTGCATGTGACAGTGAACTTAAAACAAAAGGATGGAACTGGCATGCCTGTTGAGATCGCCAACCCTCTCGCCTATATAGAATGCGCCTCGCGTTGCAAACCTGCCAAGAGACTGTTGGCAACTACATGCAGAAGGTCACCGTGTGATGCTGGACCCCCCTGGTCAATCGCCTTTTACAACGACGAAGCAAAGCCCGGAAACAAATTCAAGCAAGTTAATTCGAGATTCCTGGAATGCGCGTACATGGTTTTTTTTTTACAGTTTGGCCAGCGGGCCTTGCGCAAAGAAGACAGCTGGTTTGTTATAGCGTGCGCCCGCTCTTGTGATATTCATGAATGCCCCCATGGCATGAGCCAGCTGATGAAAGCAGCATTGGAATTAATGTTTGATGCCGACGCGCATGACCTCAGACATTGCGGGATGAATGTTGACATTGGTTATGCTGATCTGCCATGTTTTCGTTTGTTCGCTGATGTGCAATGCATCTTGGGGGGCGAAGATGCACTGCACAAGACGTGGTGCAATAAGGGATCCCCTGGAATAAAGTGCTGCGTTAAGTGCATGAATGTTGCGAATAAGCAGTGGGCCGCAATCGGTGAGCTCGACGACTCCAGCTATTGCAGCGGCCTTCGGCCAGTGCCGCCGATCCGGGGCGCTCCGACTGATGTGATCCTCCTTCGCCCTCGTCCCTCCTCTCTTTTCCCTTCCTTCCCCCTTTCATTCCGCATTTATCCAGTGGCCTTCGGCCTATCCCACCACCGTGCGTGGGTGGTGGGTCAGAGGCTTCATGGACGCTGGTTGGGATGTCGTGGTTGGCCGGGACCTCTGGGGGCCTCTTGGAGGCCTCTTTGGGCTTCTTGGGGGCCTCTTGGGCCTCTTGGGGCCACTTGGGGGCCTCTTTGGGGTCTCTTGGGAGTCTCTTGGGGCTTCTTGGGGGCCTCTTCTGGGCCCCTTGGGGCCTCTTGGAAGCTTCTTCGGAGCCTCTTGGCGCGGGAGGGGTGGCACTCGAGTTCGGAACCCCCTCGGAGGCCACGATCCTTGCGAGGGGTGTCAAAAAACGCATCCGCCGGAAACTCGCACCCCCCCCCCACCCCCCACCCCCCCTTTCCGCGGCAGAGCCACCCCGGCAACCCCCCCGGAGGCTGAGGCTCAGCCTCGAGGCCGTAGCTGAGACTCCTTTTAACTCACACGCCGGATCGGCGGATTTCAAACGCTACACGTCGTTGCGCCGCGTCGGGGACTGCGTGGGGCACTCCAGAGAGACCATTTTGAGGTGCGTGGATTCCTTGGCTGAGAATAGGCCGCCGATGCAACGCCCGAAGACCATGCTGACATGGAAACCAGGCCCAAGGGGGGGGGGGCCAAACTCGGGACCAAACCTCGTTGTGTTGGCTGGCTTCTGGGAGCCGCCTGGGACTCGCCCCAACCCATCAGTTTCCGTCCTCCGCCCTCTTCCTGCTCGCCCTATCCTTGGCAGAGATAAGATGATGGGCGGGTGGTGCGTGTGTGCGTGCGCGTGCGTGCGTGGGGGTGGGTGGGGGGGGGGGGGGGGGGCGGGGGGAGGACAGGAAGATGATGAACAAGACATAAAGATAAAGAGACATGAAGAGCGAACATAAACAGAAGGGAAACACGCTAAGGGATAACCGTAAAGAAAAACATTTAAACTATGCCAACGAGGGAGGGCCAACGGCTGGAGGAGACTGGGGGAGGAGGATGAGGAGGAGGAGGAGGAGGAGTGAGTTTTGCTTGGCGTTCCGATGGTTGGGATGGCATGATACCGACCATAATATGCTAAGGGTCGCAGTGCTCAGAGGCCTTGTGAGCCCCGCTGAACACAACACATTCGATTGGGCACACATCATATTGCAAAGGGATTTTCCAGACGCTCGTGTACAATGCCTTGGAAAAGATCAGTCACCATTGCTTTCGGCCAAAGCACGTGTTTCAATATTTAGAGACATTCAAGTGGCCTGCAAAAGTCTAAGGGGAAGGTGTGACTGGAAAAGACATGTTTTCAAAGACACGTGCGACAACGTCGTGGGAGGCCCAGTACATCAGATGTTCTGCAAGTGAAGGCATATCAGTTCACCTCCCTCTCGCCCAGTTCTTTCGCGAGAAGGTTCTGAAGTTCGGATTGGAACCTGATGTATGTTACACAGTGATCGCCATGAGCAGCATCATACAAATGTCGTACTACGGTGAAACATTTTGTGTGCCACCGCACGTTTTGGAATCTGCCATTCACGCATTCCTCGATGTATACAAGAAATGTGTTGGTTCTGACAATTGGATGTGGAAGTTCCATAGCATCCTTCATTTGCCCAATTACGCTGCCCGCTATGGATACTGCCCTGGAACAATTACACTGGAACGAAAACACAAACAAGTGTTGAAGTGGGGTAATGACCTAAGTGTGGTGTTGACTGTAATTAGAGAAGCAGTGGCTGAGAACTTGACACACCAACATGAAGCCGACTGGTTCGATACGTCGCCAGGGCTGTTGAATCCAAAGGCCCCGAGCAAATCGCTGAGAGATTTCTTGATTATTCAGTTGGGTGATGTCGAGCACTTCGCTTCGCACGGTGCCAGGTTCAATGCGTGGGGCACATGTTATTCGGGGGATATCGTTGCGTTTAAATGCAATGGGTCTTGGAGTATCGGCAGGGTTCGCTTTGTTGCTAGTAGTTCTGGGGTAGCATACATTACAGTGCAAGCGTTCTCGCTGCTACACCGTGATAGGTGGCATTCTGTATGGACAAAGGCTGGGACCGCCTTCTTGGTGGACCTAGATGATGTGCTGGACGTGCTCATCCATCAGATAGCTGGCGATGCCATGACAGTTCTCCATACTCTTCGGCTCGTTGCCTAGTCAACGGTGTGTGCGTGCATGCAGGGGCATAGAACATGATTAGAAATTGAAGGTTGGACCCCGAACAGTGGAAGGTTGGACCCCGAACAGTGGAAGGTTGGACCCCGAACAGTGCAAAGTATGCCTGTTAGATGCGATCCCCCCCTTCCGCCAGCCCGTGGAGTTTTGCAGCCAATCCAGATTTCCGTCTGAAGGGGAGGGGGGGGGGGGCGCTGCGGTCTTTTCGCCCGCGCCTTGCCCATGCATTCGAATGGCTGTCGCCGTGCCGCTGCCCCGAAAGCAACAATACTGGCCTTTTCTGGGGAGGCGCTAACCCTTTAGCGGGGGAGGTGCTAAACCCTTTAGCCAAGGTTAGTAAATCATGAGTCGGGGGTGCTAAACCCTTAGCCGACCATTCTAGCAAACCTGAGCTAAGTCTGTGTAAACTACTGGAGCTAACCTTTTAGATAAACGCAAGTACGCGTTGCATAAGCTAGTGGCGACCGCGTTGCAACCCTGGCCATCGTTACTAACGATTGCATGTTTCAGTAACCCCGTGACCCCTCCAAGCAGGGGCCCGAAAGGGCTCCTTTTCTGCAGCCCTCGCTGCCCCCCCCCTCGATCACCCCCCATGAATTCGCGCCCGATGCCCGACCGAACACTGCACCGGAGAGCTCTGCAGCTGCTCTATGTCCAGAGAGTTGGTCAGACACCGTTCGGCGAAGCAGAACAGCTGCAGTGCGGAACCCGCCCTTCCGACCAATTAGCCCGGCCAGGAGCCAGACCTCGGCGCCCTCGAGGCTGCAGACTGTTCCTTTCGGACGCACCCAACCTCCATCGTTTTGCGGCAGCGTTCGGGCCAGATCGATCCGTGATGGTCCCAGGGCTGGGCCCGAAGCCGGGCGGAGCCGACCGGTGTGAAGAAGGGCGGCGCCCGGAGCTCAGGGCTGCCCCGCCGGGCCGTCCTCCCAGAGGCCATGGCTTCGGGCCTGCCCACGATCGCCACCGGCTGGGGCGGCAACACGGAGTTCATGCACGCGGGCAACGCGGTGCTGTTGGGCTACCGGCTCGTGGGCGCGCCGCACGGCGCCGGGACGCACAGGTGGGCGGAGCCCGAGCGCCCAGCTCTGCGGCAGGCGATGCAGGACGCGGTCACGCGCTCGGCCACCCTCCGAAGCCTCGCGGAGCACGCCTGCGAGGATCAGAGGAGGAGAAGCTGCCGATGCCGCTGCCCTGGCTTCGTTCCCGCCCAGTGGGGCCTCCTGGGAGGCCCTCGTCGCCGCGGTCGGGTTCGCCGCCTCGAGACTCTCGTCAGAGAGCACCTGGGAGAGGTCCCAGGAGCAGCGGCATCGGTATTTCTTCATGTGCTCGCGAGGAGGTCCTCGAGGGAGAGAAAGTGCGTAAAGAGAAGCTTTCGGAGACCCGATCGGATTCGTCGGATCTGTGCTGGGCCCTCCTGGGCGGCGCCTGCTGCGCAGCCCCTTGCGCGCTCCGCGCGCTGGGGAGGGGGGACCAGCGCCAATCCACAGAGTCCGCGCGGACCTTCGACAGGTTGCTTGTGCCGTTTTATTTCCCCCTCCCCCTCCCCCCTCCTCCTCCTCCTCCTCCTCCTCCTCCTCCTCCTCCTCCTCCTCCTCCTCCTCCTCCTCCTCCTCCTCCTCCTCCTCCTCCTCCTCCTCCTCCTCCTCCAGGTCCCTGGCGAGCTCTACACGCCCGATGCGGTGGTGCACCGGCTCGTCACGGAGCTCGCCCAGGAGAGCGCCGGCGCCGTCGTCGCGTGAGCCGCGGCGCGCGGCGCACTGGGTCGAGGGCGCGCCGCAGGTGCGCCCCCCCCCCCCACAAAAAAAAAACAAAACAAAAAAAAAAAAAAAAAAAAAAAAAAAAAAAAAAAAAAAAAAAAAAAAAAAAAAAAAAAAAAAAAAAAAAAAAAAAAAAAAAAAAAAAAAAAAAAAAAAAAACGCGCGGGGGGAGTCGCGGCAGAGCGGTGGCGGAGGGTTGCCAGCTGGCGCGGCGAAGGAGAGGCGTGGGACCCCTGAGATCTGGCCGCTGCGCCATATATCCTTCACGCCGGGCGTGCTCGCCCGGTTTCGGGCCTCTGGCCCTCACAGATGGATCTGGCCCGCGGAAGGCCGCAGGAAGGTGGGGAGCCCAGGGCTCCTCCTCCTCCTCCCTCCTCCTCCTCCTCCTCCTCCTCCTCCTCCTCCTCCTCCTCCTCCTCCTCCTCCTCCTCCTCCTCCTCCTCCTCCTCCTCCTGTGCCGCCGACCCGGGAGGGGGAGGCCGAGGCGTGTGGGAGGCCAGGCATCGAAGGGGAAAGAAGCTTCTCCCAGGGAGGGGTGCTCCCCCAAGGGGAGGGGGGGTCATCAGCCCCAGGGCACCCCTTACGCCCCCCCGTGACGACCCCCCCCCCTCCCGTGACCCCCCCCTGCGCCCCCGACGGGGGTCTTTCCGTCGACTCGGTCACGACGTGGCTCGATTTCTGTTTGGCTGAGACGGTTGACGAGGGGACGACGACGACGGCGAAGACGACGACGACGACGACGACGACGACGACGACGACGACGACGACGACGGTGGCGACGACGACGACGGCGGCGGCGGCGACGACGACGACGACGACGACGACTCAGACGGCAAAGCCTCTCATACATGCCGACAGGGTCGGCGCATTTTTGGTTCGCGCCGTCGGATCTCAGGGGAGGATGAGAGGAGCGGGAGCAGCAGACGAGGCATGGGGAGCAGAAGCGGCAGGAGGGAGGAGGGGGGGGGCGGGGGAGGAGCACGAGGAGGAGGGGAGTGCGGAAAGGGGCGGGAGGATCAGCTCAGGATGGGCAGGAGGATGAGGACCACCAGAGGAGGACAAAGTACCTATACTGCTGCTCTTGCCTCGTTTTCGCCTTCGAGGGCCTCTTGGGAGGCCCTCGTCGCCGCAGCGGGACTCACCTCGAAATTCTGGTCAGAACGCACCCTGGGAGAGGTCTTCGGAGTGGCGGCATCGGTATCTTGAGGCTTCCCCAGGACAGGTCAGACGGAGGAGGGGAGGGACGAGGCAAGACGAAGAGGAGGAGGGGGATGATGAGGGCGGGGAGGAGGGGAGGAGCAGGAGGGACAAACGGGATGGAAGGAGGTCGTCGTCGTCGAACGATGGGAATGGCAGCCCGCCGTCCTCAACGATGGAAGGAGGAGGTAGGAGAGAGGGGGGAGGATGGAGGTAGAAGGAACATTTCGAAGGGGAAAGTGCGAGGGGGGAGGATGAAGAAGCATGAGGAGAACGAGTAGGCGAACGAGGACGAGGAGGAGGACAAAGATGACGAAGGGCGAGCAGGGGGACGAGAAACGAGAAACCGGAGGAAGCTGACGAGCGCGGTCCATACAAGAGACCATCTGGGCACATTCAGAATCAGTGTCGGGAACACCCGTTGCTCTATCAGTTGGGTAGCGGGTGACGAAAAGAAGGCCGGGGGGCAGGAAGGGAGGATGAACGCGAAATGGGCCAGTAGCATCTGATACGTCGCATCTGTGGCGTGTCATTGAATTATTCGGCACGCGACAGCACTAGGGCGCAAGCAACAACACCACCATAATTTGGCGCCTTCACCCTCAGCATTGCCACGTCGTCTGTCACTCAGGTCTTTTTTGCGCGCACTTGCGCCTCCAGTGGGGCCGGCCTGTCGGAACGATGCTCGGCTGAGGCATCCTCCAGCGCATTCGCACTAGTATCTTTAGTAGCCTGTTGCGTAGCACTCCGCAGTTGCGGATAAGAGTGAGGGGGCGGGCGAGGGCGACGCGGGCGTCGAGCCGGCGGACCTCGTGGCCCTCACCTTCCTTGTCGATGGCGCCCTCCTCCTCCTCCTCCTCCTCCTCCTCCTCCTCCTCCTCCTCCTCCTCCTCCTGCTCCTCATCCTCCTCCTCCTCCCTCCTCCTCCTCCTCCTACTCCTCTTCCTCGTCCGCTTTGGCTTGTTCAGTGGACGCAATTTGGGTCGCGGGTGGGTCGCGGGCTCTCCACCTCCACCTGGAAGGAATTAAAGAACAGCTCGCCGCATGCGCCGAAAAGTTTGATTTGTACACTGAACGCGGTTTGGGTCGCAGGTTCTCCACCTGGAACGAATGTAAAAGAAACCCGCCGCAGGCGCCGAAGTTTTGGCTTGTTCAGTGAACGTAGTTTGGGTCGCGGGTGGGTCGCGGGCTCTCCACCTCCAGCTGGAAGGAATTCAAAAACAGCCCGCCGCAGGCGCCGAAAATTTTGATTTGTACACTGAACGCGGTTTGGGTCGCGGGTGGGTCGCAGGTTCTCCACCTGGAACGAATGCAAAAGAAGCCCGCCGCAGGCGCCGAAAATTTTGGGTGGGTCGCGGGGTGGGTCGCGGGTGGGTCGCGTGTGGGTCGCGGCGGGTCGCGGGCGGGTGGGTCGCGGGCGCGGTTTGGGTCGCGGGTGGGACGACGACAATAACGAACAACAAACAACAAACAACAACAACAACAAGAATCCGCATCGCGAAATTCCACTTCAGCCATGCACCCAGGGACAGTGAATGACCGTTCGGTTCAGCCCACTCACTCTGACATGCTTCCAAGCACAGGGAGCAAGGCAACAGCCCGTTCTGTCGACACTGGGAAGAGGGGGGGGATTCAACCAGGGGAGGGGCTGAATTGAAAGTGGGGGAGGTTCGAACCGAGGCGGGGAGCGGGGGGAGGCTCTCAATTGTAGGGGGGGTGTTCGAACCGGGGCCCCCCGTCCCTCAAGGGCCGGGGGGGGGTGTCGAACTGGGGTGCCCTGTCCCCTGAATTGTGGGGGGGGCTTGAACTGGTGGGGGAAGGGGCTCTCTCTCTCTCTCTCTCTCTCTCTCTCTCAAGGAGAAGAGGTTCGAACTGGCCATCCCCCCCCCCTCCGAATGGCAAGCGGGGGGGTTCGAACCGGCTCCTTTTCCCCTGGCAGCCGACGACGGCGAGCGCCAGCGCCGACGCCGGCACCGTCAGGCGACGACGACGACGACGACGACGACGACGACGACGACGACGACGACGACGATTGCTCGCTCCCTTGCACGATTGCTCGAGCGGGCGAGCGAGCAAGCGAGCACCGTGCATGTAATGCCCCGCCCGCCCCGACTCGCGCGCTCGCGCGCTTGCTCGAGCTAGCGAGCAAGCGAGCTACTTTGCGAGCACCCTGTATTTACTGTCCCGCCCGCCCGACCCGACCCGCCCGACTCGCTCGCTCACTCGCTTGCTCGAGCGGGCGAGCGGGCGAGCAAACTGACTAGCGAGCACCATGCATTTCATGTCCCGCCCGCCCGACCCGACCTGCCCGACTCGCTCGCTCGCCTGCTCGAGCGAGCGAGCGAGCGAGAGGACCGACCCCTTCCGTCACTCGCTAGCTCGCACGCTTGCTCCAGCGAGCGACCGATCGCACGAGCGCGCACCATGCATTCAGTGACGCGCCCGCCCACAAACCGAACCGCACGAGCCGCACGACTCGCCCGCACGACTCGCTTGCTCGAGCGGGTGAGCGAGCGAGCGAGCCGCCATGCATTGCACGTCCCGCCCGCCCCGCCCCGGCCGCCTCGGTCTCTCGCTCGTTTGCTCGAGCTATCGAGCGAGCGAGCAAGCGAGCGAGCACCGTGCATTCCATGTCCCGCCCGCCGGACCCAACCCGCCCGACTCGCTCGCTCGCCTGCTCGAGCGAGCGAGCGAGAGGGCCGACGTTCCCCTGCCCTCGCTCGCTCGCACGCCTGCTGCAGGCAGCGAGCAAATGAGCACCATGCCCGACGCTGCCCGCCCGTGACGCTCGCTCGCTCGATTGCTCGAGCCAGCGAGCGAGCAAGCGAGCACCATGCATTCTCAATGCCCCGCCCACCCGACCCGCCCGACTCCCCCCCCCCACCTTCCCTCGCGCACTCGCCCGCGTTCTTGCTCCAGCTCGTGAGCGAGATAGCACCATGCATGTATTGTCCTGTCCGCCCGACACGAACCGCCCGACTTGCTCGCTGGCTCGAGCGCTTGCTCGAGCGGGCGGGCGAGCGAGCAAGCGATCACCATGCATTTATTGTTTCGCCCGCCCAAACCGACCAGCCCGACAGAGAAGAGATTAGATTTGAGTTGGACCGAGCCCGACCAGGATGTGCTGCATCCAGCCATAGTAGGACTACGTTAGATCTGCATCGAGCCTCAGTAGGATTAAATTATCGCTGGATCGAGCTACAATCGGATTCTATCGAACCGGCGCCCCCCTCCCGTGGACAGGGGGGGAAGGGGGGGAGCGGTTCGAACCTCCCCCCTTTGCATTTTAGTGGGAAAGGCGTGGCCTTCGGTTCGAATCCAGCCCCCTTGGATGGGGAGGGGGGGCTGTTCGACGCCCTCCCTTTAGAAAGGGGGCGGGGCCAGTTAGAGGGGCCGGTGTCTGCGGGGGGGCCTCGGTTGTCCAGGTGGGCTTCATGATTTTGGGAGGGGAGGAGGCGGTTCCAATGTGTCAAGGTGTTTTGTCGATGTAAGCGTCCACGAAGCGCGTTCTCTCGGAGCAAGGTAGGCACCATGATCCGTACGATTAGCTTGCTGCAGAGCAGAACACTGGGCACGAGCTTCCTGATCCCATGCCTTGCAGCACTTTCGTTGGGCGACATACCGCACTGTTCACGGCCGTCGGTTGTCGACTCTCGTTGGCCGGTCGCTTGCGGATTGGGTTGTTTTGGCTCCGCAACGCTTTCTGGCTCCGCAACGGATTGCTTTTCGTTCACGCGGCAACGCGTTTGGGCTCCAAACGCTTGTGGGCAGCAGCTGTTTGCACGATGCGCATGCAGGCGCATTGCATGTTTCTTGAGCACAGAAAGACTCTCGGCAAGTTTGCGGCACGCGTCGCTGAGTGCGGGAATCCGAGGGGGGGGCTGTGGCCGGTGCCAAAGAGGTTTGCGCAAAGCTGGGTGCCTGCGCAGGTTAACTCAAGGTTACCCGCCGGCGCGGGGCCGCATTGCATGTTCCACACGCCAATGCGAAAAGGAAAACGCTTCGCAGAATTGGAGTGTGTGTGTGTACGTCTGGGTTTGTTTCCCCCACGCCCTCCGAGTTCATAGCCCATCCCCGTTGTTCACCTCCTCCCGCCCGATCGCTCCCTCCCACAGGGTGGAACCGACGCCGTGCTCAGGCACGCTGTTGCGAAGCAGCAGCGGTGCGCTCCTCGCGTTAAAGAGGCCGCATAATACAGTACAGAAACAATGCAGAACATCATCAGGCCTGCCAAGCGTCGTGTTCAGCGGCTGCTGACGGCATCAGTGGGGAGCATTCGCAAAGCAACATGTTTCACGTGGCGATGCGTTGGTATTCTCACGCGTCCGCCGCATCGCGGTGGCACGTGCGTGCAAGATTGCACGGTACAAGTAGAGCCACGGACCAGGCCGCAGGGCTGGCGACGGGTGGCGGTGGGGAGGGCGACCTTGGTGGGTAGGTTTGGACTCCCCGCCCTTGCTGGGAAGGATGTCCTCGAGTCGCGGCTTCACTTCTGCTCACGCGTATGCGGGCGAGGCTTTGTGCCTGTCGCAGGTGCCCCCCGCGATCTCTGTGGCCCCCGATGCGCTCGAGAGTCCAGGCCAGGGTGCCAGACAGGCCCTGGGACAGACTGCTGAGTCTCTTCGGGACGGGAGCGAAAGCCTTCTGGTTGCGTGCCCCCGGTGCCCTAATGATGGGGATTATGTCTCAGGCAGTCGCTTTTGAGGGTAAGCCCTGCTTGCGACCGTCTGGCTAGGCAGGATTTCACTTTCATCCGGTGCCCCTCTCGCATTTCCCGTTTTTTGGTCGTCCTGCTTGGCAGTGTCGGTGACGCGCAGCCAGCCCTGGAACTCGGGCCGAGAGGTTCCGCCAGGCAGGCGATGTTTCCCTCATCAATGTGTGTGTTCAGTGTTTGGCCGGTTCTGCGTGGGCCGAGCGGACCTTCCGCTCGGCAGCCGTCTTGTTTCTCGTGCTTGTAGCCGTGTCGTGCAGCATGTCTTCCGGGGTGCTGACTCTTCCTGGTCTTGGCTTCTTCAGGCGTCGGCGGCAGGGATGGGTCACACGCCCTCTGCCCCACGAGTGCACCGTCACGCCTGCTCCAGCTGGCTGGAGTGACGTTGCCAGCCTGCTCCAGCCGCTGGAGCAGGCGTGACGGTGCACTCGTGGAAGCCAGAGTCGCCCCCGCAGAGAGCTCGCCCGCCTCTGGAGGTGCACGTGGGCAGCACTCGCGCGGACGTGAAGAATGTCCGCCCCCGTGCCAGGCTCCCCCGGCATGGAGCCCCCGCGCCCCTCGCCTCGTGCGGCGCCTGCGCAGGGGGCGGGCGCCATCCCTCGAGGGCCGGGCTGGCGCGGGCCCCCTCGGGCTTGCAGCGCGCGCCCGCGGGGTGCGGCACGTGCCGCCTGCACCGAAGCCGCGGCCGATGCAGTGTGCGGGGGCGCGCGTGCTGTCGCCAGGGCCCCTGGCCCCCAGAGTCGGGGGAAAAAAGATACGGATACGTGTTGTCCCCCATTCGTTTTCGGCCTTTCCTGGTCCTCCTGGGGAATCCTCGTTGTCACCGCTGGATTCGCCTCGAAATTCTGGTCAGAACGCGCCCCAAGAGAGGTCCGGGGACAACACGTATCCGTATCTTTCCGCCCCCCAACAGAGTAGCGCGCCGCACGCTGCTTCCAGTGTGGCCCGCACTGCCTGAGGGCGTTGTGGCTCTAGCTGCCCCGGTGGGGACTGCTGCGGCCTGCTGGGACCTGCTGCGCGGCGCCCTCTGATTCTCGGCCGCGCATCTCATCGAGAGGGCAGTTCGGCTCGGAGTAGCAGGGGCTCCTGCCGTCGCTTCGCAAGCCGTCTCCGGACATCTTTGATCATGGAGTTGCCGGCGTCTTCTCCGCAGTATCCACATCGATGGCCGGAGAAGAGTCCCACCAAAGGTTTCAGAGGGTGCCGTCAGGCGCCCCCGCCGCACATTTCAGGCCAACCCTCGAACGTTACGTGGCCCAGTAGCTGACCCCACCCATGGCCTAAGGCCCTGCGTTCGCATGTCCCCTTGCCGCGCTTATCCTGCAGACCCCATCACACGCTTCGACACGCTTCCTTGCCCCACTGGGACCTCCACCGAAGGTCAAGGCGCCACCGCCGCAAATGTCGCCACACCCCTGTGGCCCCACGGGGAGCTCCACCGAGGGCCCACGTGGCTGCGTCCACAGGCGCTCCCGCCGCACAGTTTAGCACAACCCGCACGCGTGTAGTTGTGTTCTTGAGGGGCGACATCAACAAGCCCCTGCCAATGCGTTTGCGAGCAGGGAGGCGGCGGGGGCGGGGTGGGCAGCGCAGCAGGGGGGCGGCGGAACGCCAGCGGGCGTCAGGGCAGCAGTGGGCGGCGCCGGGAGGCGGCAGGCGACCACCAGCGAGGGCCCCAAAAGGAAGCACCGTCGCAGCGAGAGCCAGGGGGCAGTCGGTCACGGGCGCGCTACGGGCAGCAAGCAGACGGGCGGCGTCGCCCATGGGAGAGGGCGACCCCTTGGCGGTGGGCGCGACTCGCCACGCCGTCGAGGGCGTCGCTGTTAGCATGCACGCAGCACGGGGGCTGGAGTCGTCTACGGGACGGGACCGAGGTGCCCGCGTCGCACGCGGGTTTGCCGAGGCGGGGGGAGAAGCGCACGGGAGGGCCCCCCAGGGCGAGGCGCGGGCGGCCACGCCCAGGTGTGGGCGCTTGGCACGAGACGAAGCCCAGGCCGGGCAGGCGTCCGAGTGGCGTTGGAGCTGGGCGACGAGCGACCAATGATCAGGAGCGAAAACAGGACGTACGTGTGCATGAATCCACGCTGGTTTCGAGACCACGCATTGCACAAATGTTCGTGTAACGCGGCCCGTCTCGCGAATCGAGGGGCCGTGTTCATGTACATAGTTGGGCGCGTGTGTCCTTTTTGTGGGCTCCCTAAATGAAGGCGGCAAGGGCGTATCATTTGGCCCAGCGGCCGCGGAGAACGATGCCGAAGAGTGGCCAGCCGGAGGTCTCCGGCCTGACAGAAAGGGGCCGCGCGAGGCGCAGTCAATCGGCGGCGACGGGGTGAGGCGACGCACCAGATGAGAGAGAAACAAACGGCTACCTTTTTTGGGCGAGGCCTACAGTGCCAATCCGCTGGCTGCGTAAGATGGCGCCAGGCGCTGCGCTTCCGCGGTGGGCAGCCCCTTACCCGTCGGAGGGCAACAAACCCGCAGCTAGAAGGCCCAGCTGTCCGGAGGGCGGTGGGCGCGAGCGGGGGGCGGCGCACGCAACAAATCACCGTGGACGGCCTGGGCCACGCCAGCGCCCTGCGGGCAGGGCGGGCGCACCCCGGCCCCCGAGCACCTCTGGCGGTTGCTGTCGCCTGGCTGTGTGCCAGGGGCTCGCCCACGTCGGTACACACACACACACACACACACGTACACACACGTACACACACGTACACACACGTACACACACGTACACACACGTACACACACACACACACACACACACACACACACACACACACACACACACGCACGCACGCACGCACGCACGCACGCACGCACGCACGCACGCACGCACGCACGCACGCACGCACGGACGCACACACACACACACACACACACACACACACACACACACACACACACACACACACACACACACACACAACACACACAACACACAACACAACACACACAACACAACACAACACAACACAACACAACACAAGTACAAGATCGGCAAGGCCTCGGAACCGACGTGCCAGGCCTGCGGCGTGGAGCGGGGCACGGCCCACCACCGTTACTTCAAGTGCGGCTGTGCCCGGCAGCATCGCTTCGAGGCCCCGCGGAAATGGCAACACGTTGCCGCGGCGGAGCCGACCAGCCTACTTTTTGGACCAGGGGGCGACTCAGGCCCCCCGCAGCCGACTGAGCCCTCCCAGCCCATGGAGGAGCACTTCCTGTGGCGCGTCGCGCAGCAGGCAGACGACCCCCCATGCCCGTCCGACGGGCAGGCGCCGCGGGCCCCCGAGGAGGCCTTCGAGCTGGTAGGAGAAGCCGATGGTGGCGAGGACCCCTGGCCAGACGAGGAGGAGGACGTCTTCGGGCGAGGAGGCAGCTTCAGCGAGCCTGAGGCAGCGGCAGCCACCAGGCAGCGAGGAGCCAGTCGGCGACGGCCTCAGAGGCTTCCGGGGCTGCCCGGAGGGCCGCCGCCTCCCCCTGCCGGCGCCAGGCCGTAGCCTTGACCTTTTCCAGGATGGGTCAGGCCTGTCCGGGGTCGCAGCCGCGACCGCCGCTGGTGCATCCCGCACCGCATCCGGGGCCGCCGCTGGAGCCGCCAGGGAGGCCCTTGGCGGGCTTCAGGGGCCGCCGCCAGGGGGCCAGGGGGCTCGTCGCGGACCGTGTTTTCCCTGAGGGGTGACAGAGTATCTGGGGCCGCACCTGGCCCCCGCCGGGAGCCCGCCCGGGCGCCGCCAGGGCCGGCGGCTCGTCGCGGGCGCTGGCGGGGCTGCGGCAGGAGGAAGCGCGGCCGTGGCAGTCGAGGGACCCCTCGGAGGCGGCGGCGACGCCCGACCAGACAGCATGGAGGCGGAGTTCGACGGCGTGGTCGTCTGCGACGGCTCGAAGTTGGGCAGCTCGCTGTGGGCCTAGACGGGCTGGGCGGCCATGGCGGCCGACGCCGAGGGCAGAGCCACCGCGCAGGCCTGGGGCCCCCTGCCGGTCGCCCTGCCAACCCAGCGCGCCATCAAGCGCGCAGAGCTTTGGGGCTCCCTGCTGGTGCTGAGGCACATCAGGAGCGCGAGCGAGCCGTGCGTGATATCTGCACAGGCCACCTGGCCATCGTGCTGGGGCTGCGCCGTGGCCGGGCGTGGTGCTGCAACGACAAGCGCGCGCACGCCGATGTCTGGAGGCAGATCTGGCTCTGCGTCGAGGATCGCGAGGTGCCCGTGAATGCGGCGAGGCACTGCAAGGCGCACCGCAGCCGAGCAGTGATGGCGACCCTGGAGGGCCCCGAAAGGAGGGCGGTCCTCGGAAACCAGGCGGTGAACCGCTTGGCAAAGCAGGCCGCGGAGCTCGACGCGGGCTTCGGCAGGGACCAGGCGATCAAGGAAGCTAGCCAGAAGGCGGGGTGGGCGCTCCACAACATCGGTTGGTGGCACGAGCGGAGTGGCGACTGGAACGACATGCAGGCGATGCCGTCGGACAGGCCGCCGCCCAGGAAGGCGTGCACCAGCAGTCGCCCCCCCGACCTGGTCCAGCACGACCTCTTTCGGCAAGGGCTTTCGCTGCAGGGCCTGCACGAGGAAGGCCGCTTCCGCCTCGGCGCGCTGGAACTTGTTGGCCAGCCCGTGCGCGCCCATGCCGTGGAGGAGAATGGGCGCGCCTGAGGCGGACCCCAGGCAGATCACGATCCTCGGGCGCCAGGCGGCTTGGGCGGGGCCGAGTCGCCAGCCTGACGTCGAGCAGAGGGCCGGCAGCGGCCACGAGCGGGCGAGAGGAAGGGCCGCCATTGCGGCGTTTGGGGGGCCCTCGCGTGGCCTTGAGCCAGCTGCGACAGCGCGGAGCGACAGCAAGAAGATCGCTTACCTGCTCCGAGCGGCCACGGGCCCAGTGCGAGAAGGCGTGAGGAGCCCCAGGGAGGCTCCGCAGGTCGAGGCGCTGGCCCCAGAGGGCGAGGCCGACATTGGCGATGGGGGGTCCCGCCTCAGCGTGGCCGCGGAGCCGCCTACGCGGCCAGTGGAGGCAGAGGCCGCCGCCGAGGCAGGCGGGCCCGCGCCTGCAGCCAGGCCGAGGGCGCCGCCGAACCCTCCGGCCCGAGCGAGGGCCCTCGGCGCGGGCGAAGAGCTCCACGTGGTCCGCGAGGTGCACGGCTACGGTCTGCGCAGCGTGCGGGGCCCACGCCCGGCGGCGGATGGAGGGCCTGGCCAGAGGGCGCCCAGGCTGGCCAGCCAACCCCAGCAGGGCCGATAGGGTGCGACGCCGGAGAGCGGACCTCATCCTTCGAGGCCTCCATCCGAATGCCAGCAGGAGCCTGGACGAGTGAGGGAGGCAGGGCAGTGAAGCGACTGTTCATGAATAATGCGCATGTCTTGCCTGTGCGTGCATTCTCTTGATAATTCTGTGTTGCTGTGTGATTGTTCTTGCTGAATAATCAGTGCGCGCGCCGTGCACAGCGGGCACTCCGGCAGGGAGCGTGGTGGCGGCAGTGCTGTTGCCTCGTTAGCCGTTCGCGGGGGCTCGCCGGGAGCTCGCGTGCGCGGGAAGTCCCAAACAAACAAAACACACACACACACACACACACACACACACACACACACACACACACGCACACACACACACACACACACACACACATCCACACACACACACACACACACACACACACACACACACACACACACACGCACACACGCACGCACGCACGCACGCACACACACACACACACACACACACACACACACACACAGCGCTGCGGGCGCGGCGCTCTGCGGCGTCCGCCACGCGGTCGCAGCAACCATCCTGCGATGGGTGCGGCGGCGCGTCGGGCGGCGCCGCCCCCGCCGAGCACAAGGCGGTGGCGGCGCGCGCCTCGACGGCGACGCCTGGCTGCTACAACCCGGGCGGATGTGGGTGGGGCGAAACGCGCCCACAGGAAGATGGGCGCCCCGCCTGCCGCAAACAATTATGGAACCTGCGAGCGGCAAGGCTGGTCGGCGCCGCGGACGGGTCGCGCGCGCTCCCTCCGCGGCGGCCTAGCCGCCACGCATGACTGTTCCTGTGCGCGGCAAGGCTGGCCGGTGCCGCGGTGAACGCTCGCGTGCGCTCCCTCCGCGGCGACCTAGCCGCGGCGCATCCGACAAAACCGCGGCTCCATCTTTCTCGCGTTTCGCGTGTCGTCGCCTCGCGGCGAAGCGCCCCTCGCAACCTCACGCGCTCGCTGCGGGGCGCGCGGACGCACGCGCATCGCGTCCTCGCTGCTGTGCCCGCGAGACAGCATTCGTGCCTCGGCTGTTCGCTCACCACAGCGCTGCGGGCGCGGCGCTCTGCGGCGTCCGCCACGCGGTCGCAGCAACCATCCTGCGATGGGTGCGGCGGCGCGTCGGGCGGCGCCGCCCCCGCCGAGCACAAGGCGGTGGCGGCGCGCGCCTCGACGGCGACGCCTGGCTGCTACAACCCAATGCAACAGCAGGCCGGCGTCAGCCGTCGTGTGCGCGCGCCCCCACTGCCAACGTCGCGACGTTTCTTACCGCGTGCGGGATGAAGGGCGCGACGAGCGCGCATTACGGCTGAGATGCAGCGCCTGCGGGGTCATGGCCCGCGGCCTCAGGGCCCGCGCTGGCGGAGAGGGCCATGCCCTCGCCCGTCGCCGCGTCTTCCAGGGCAGGCTGGTCCAGGTAGGCCTTAAATGCGCCGGACCTCCAGTTGCCGGCTCTCAAGATGGTGGCGAGGCTCCCCCCGCTTTGGCGGAGAGTCTCCGTGTGGCCGCGCCGCAGGCACTTCGAGGTGATGCGGGCGGCATTGGGGAGGCCCGCCGCTTGCGCCGACCTGCGCAGGTTGCGGGTAATTGCTGGCACGGGGAGCACGCGCCCGGCTCTGGTCGGCTTTGCCAGGTGGGCAAAAGGAGACGCACCCGGCGCGAGGTCGCCCAGTAGGGCGCGCGGGGCGTGCACTGGGCAGGTCGCGGTGCAGATGCTGCACCAGCACGAGCGCCTGACTTCGCTAGGCCTGGGCTTATGCTTTCGCCTCGAGAGGTGGAGTACGACCGCCTCGCTCGTGTTGAAAAGCACGATGGTCGGCACTGGGCGGTCCAGTTCCTCCTGCGTGAACCGGAAGTTGGCCGCCCGTGCTGGGTCGCCTATGCTGATCAACAGCGCCTCCGAGGGAAGCCTCAAGGCCAGTGCGAAGGCGACTACGAACAGCGCTCGCACCTGAGGGTCAGGCACGTGCGGCAACATCGCGACTAACGCCTTCCGCGTGACAGGGGGAGGTCGCGGGTCAGGCTGGGGCGCACGGTGCTTGATCGCGGCCTTTGCGCGCGAAACGGCGGGGCTGCTGAACGCTGAGCGGTCGAGGCCCAGCAGCGTGCAGGCCTTGTCGACCTGGGCTTTGTAATTGGCAAAAGTGCCGGGGTTCGAGAAGCACAAAGCCCAAAGACATAGCTCGTCCGCAGTTGGCGGGAGGGGGCTGTCCCCTTTTCCGAGCTGCGATTTGGCGAAACGGAACCAGCACCTCAGGCCGGCTGTCCACGTGCCGATGGAGCGCGGGGCACCGTTGAGGACGGCGGCGCACCGGGCCCCGAATAAGGCGCGCTTCCTGAATTCGGGGTCGCTCGGCGCAACGGCCAGGCGTCGAATTGCGGCGCGCGGGCCTCCTCTTCTCGAGCCCAGGGGCGACGCTTTCAGCGCGGCCGTCGCCCGCGCTAATTGCAGCCGCTGCGAGAGTACGCCCTCCTGTTGCGGGCGTGCGGGTGCCTGCGCGGCTGGACTCCTACCACCCGCCCGCGGGGGGGGCGAGGAGGACGAGGAGGAGGAGGAGGACGAGGAGGAAGAGGAGGAGCCAGCGGCGGAGGAGACACACGGCTGAGCGCACACGGGCGCCGCAGGCACCTCGTCACTCACGAACGCCGCCGCAGGTGGCGGGCCCGGCGGCGGCTTTGCTCGCGCGAAGAGCGCGATCGCGCGCTGCGCGTCGGGCGACAGATTCACGTAGCCGCTCCAGTTTTCCGGTGCGCCAACCGCCCGCACAGATGAGATCGCGAACACATCGCAAGAAACCAGAAACTTGGCGACTTCCTCAACGACCGTGGGTGACGCCCACGGGGTCGCAACGGCGATCTGGTCGGCGAGCTTCATTCTGGCGCGCCGAGGGGCGCGTTGAGAGAGGTCGCCCCGCGCCCTGCGCGCCTCTCGATAGCCCCCTTCGCGTGTGAGAGCGTTCGTGCCGCGTTACTGACGCGCCTTCCCGGGCGGCGCTCGCGTCTCTTTCTCTGATGCGAGCCTTGCGCGGGGTCGAGCGGGAGCGACCGGCGCTGGCCGGTGACGGCGCGGCTAAGGCGACGTCGTTTCGATTGGGTCGTCATCGACGTCCGCGCCCTGCGGCGCGCCCACCATCGTCGTGCGATAGTCGATGGTATCAGCTTCGCTGCTTGAGCAGCTGGACTCCGGTTCGAGTTCCGTGCCGAAGGTGCAGAGTGCTTCGTCCAGTCGGCATTCGATGGCCAGCTGGATGGCCCGGAGGATCGTCGCGCGCGCGTCCCTAGACAAGCCCAGGGACGGCACTGAATCCGCGGGAAGCCGCCCGAGCTGGAACCACGAGCGGATCCCGCGGCCCCGCAGCCACGAGGCCGCCGCGTCCGTGTCGCGCTGCCGCATCTCGCTCCTGAAAAGGGAGTGCGCCGCGACCTTCGCGAGATGACTTGCGGTGTGCGCTCGCTGGATCAGCCGAACGTAACAGCACCTCCGCGGCGGTGTTCGATCGCGCGCCATGGATACGTTGAAAATGCCCTCGGGGCGGGGGCAGACTTGCCGCATGACGCTACGCGCGAGCGAGCGCGGGGTGACGGGTGGGCGGGAGAGCAGGAGCGGGGGGAAGGAGAGCACTGGCGAGGCCGCGAGAGCGCTCAGACGGGACGGGCCGCGAGCTGGCATGGC